ACTTCAAAATCAAAATGAAAGCAGTCTATTAATAGATCAATTTAAAATTCCATAAACATTAACCTTTAAGAGGAATTCATAAATAAAAGACAACAAGTAAAGGTAAGGTCCTGGGCCAACTTCAAAAGTGACCAAGCGGTTAATGGGCCCAGCGGTTTAATTGCTTTTAAATCAGAAAGCGGGCCTCGTGAAACAAACTAATTAAAGTGGCAGAGGCGGGGCAATTTATGGAGATCAAGTAGCCGCCGCGTTGTCATAGCAATAAAGTAAAGGACAAACAGCTCCAGAATCATTTTGGGGGAATGGCATAAGTAAGCGGCAAAAGAGCCTCGAGAAAGCCTACAAAATGAATTGTATTTTAATTGTGCGGCATAAAATTGTAAAAATACCCATGCCTTTCGACCTTAACCATGGTCTCAGGACCATTAATTTCCAGGTAGAAAGAGAAAGTCGAGGCAATAAAATGAATTAATTAAAGCTGGAAATCGGTGGGTTGTTATTACAATGGCCAGTCAGCATCCTAGTATCCCATAATGTTATCCAATTAACAGCTCACTTGCCGGCAAATTAAACTTGACATTGTGAGGGGAATTTTAATCTCTGAACTGCACAAAAATTTACGACTTGACCGGGTTTATATACAGAGACAGTTAGTTTATGAAACTTTCACATCACTTTCAACTCAACAACAATGTTTCGAATATAGAGATTTGTAATTCTTGGAAATATTTGTGCTGATTTATTTATTCTGCCATTTTCACAGGCACTCTTGACTCTTGTCTGACATTTTGTTGCTGGCATTGCAAATGCCATTTGTGCGTTTTATGCGACTGTAATCCGCTCAACGGCAGTCAATTGTCACTTGTTCCCCTAACAATGATAAAGTCGCAAATAAGTAACAACTTTTTTCACTCGTAATGCAACGTGGCAAGGGGCAATGCCAACAATGTCTCTGCTTACTTGCTGCAATTACATTTGTTCTTCTCTATTATGCTTTTTTCTATGTTATTATTCCCCCAACTGTAAAACAATGCAGGACTCTCTAATTAAACATCTTTTTATGCTCAACCTGAAGAGGTGAGGAATTCCACATTTTCATACTTAATGAAGATAACTTGCCATTTGCATTTTACGACTCTAGCTGGGCAGCAATGCATTATATGTTGCCCTGCATTGAAATTTATCCTATATCTGGGCTATAAGCTATAAGCTGAAATGTTAATTAGCTTTTGAGTACAATAACTCGGATGCTAAATAAGTCTTACACACATTTTGAATCTCAGTTTATGAGTAGCTGAGAGAAAGTTGAGGTAAATTTGATTTAATTGCTAATGGAAAGTAGAGGAAGTTTCCTAGAATAGTTTATAGGTTTACGTTCTAACAAGTTTATTATTTAACAGGAAATAAAATCTAAATCTGCACCTCAAATATGTAATAAATTCTTTCCAACTTCACTTAAGAATTTCCTTTGTAACTAAAGCTTAAATCTACTTTACTGCTGTATAAATTAATGCCATTCTATTACTGAAATATTGCAATATTTTCCAATTACTTTAAAGCCTTTTAGCTTGTTATCCTGAGCACCTTTTTTATTTACCTGAAATGCAATCAGGGGACCCTTAATTTGTCAGCATGGCGAAATTTATGCGTCCGATAAGTGGACCTCGCTCGATATATATATATATTTGGGTAAATGGGTTTGTGAGAGAGCGCCCAAGTAAATGCGATTGGGAAATATTTGTCTGCCTGTCGCCATGCAAACATAAATTAAGTTGCAGGAAATCTACGTAATTTACGCACAGGCCTGACTATGTGGGCGATTTGCCTGCGTTTGGCTTGCCACATAAGTTGTTTATATTGTGGCTAATGTAATTTTTGGCAAATAATCATCTAATTTGTTTTCTCTTGCCTGTCTTCCTCGACGCGTATATGCATTTAATTTATGTCTGAGCCTGGCAGCCAAATGATTTGCATTTGAATACGGGAAAATTTCATTGAAACCAAAAAACTACACTGGGAGATATTTTCTATGTTTGTATTTCATAAAATAAAAGTGTTTGAAATTTTTATTAAAATGTAAGTCAGAGATTGGCAATCATTTTTTAGTTAATATAAAGATTTAGATATTGGTTTATATATGAGAAATGTATTATATAATACATACAGTTCCTTGCTTAAGAACACTTTTTCCTATTTTTTCAAAATTTATCAAAAGTTTTAAACAATTTCATCAACATTTTTGATTTGTTATGGGAAAATTCTTAATGGTAGACAAATCTAAAAAACATAGCATACTTTTCGGCACTATTTGAAAAGCAGCTAACATATCATTTTTCCTAGTGCACATCTAGATGTTCTAATCGTCTTAAGCTCTTAAATGCCAAAAACCAACAAATGAGATGTTTTGCAGCCTTTGAGGACTTAACCCATTTTGGCCATTTGGCGTTGAGAGTCGTCCCGAGCCTCTAAAGCGTGAATGTCTATATATATATATATATCTTAGTTGTAGATCTAAGAGACCAACTCGTGAAAATGTGACAGACTAACTCCGGTTGACACATGACAAAGGTGGCCTTTGAATCAGAGAGACCTCGGATCCAGCTCGCTGACCACAAAAGAGGCAAAGGCAATGACGGCGGTGGCCCACTCACAAATGCAATTCCTGCCGAGATTTATGGCACCCGCTGGCTGTTTGCTGGAAAATGGGAAAACTGAAACCAGAGACCAAAAAGGAGGAAAAGCTCATCACGCTTTTGGCTCAAACGTGCGACTCGGCCCAGATGACATGTTGATGCGGCACACTTTCAGTAGTAGCCCAAGACTTCAGTTTTAGTACGTGGCCCCATCTGACGCACTATATTCTGTGTGAAATTAAGGACCTCTTTTGGCATTTCCCTTGAAAGCAATTCAAGTGGATTCCCATTCCGGAGGACGGTTTACTATATATATATATATAAGATGCTTAAACACTTTTTGCTTGGCAGCAACCGGGGCTCATAGATCATGCAAATCATCAGGCAAATAAAATTCTCGTAATGCTAAGAGCGACACAAACAATTTAATAAAAACCAGCTTAAAGGAAATTTACATGCTTCACAGGATTCGCAGATATTTCACCCAACCATTCCACCGAATTTTCTCGAAGAAGAAAAATCTTCTTTGTCTGCTGCAGAGTTCATAGTGAAAGTTTTTTTTACTTCTTCTTTTTTTTTTGCATGCCATACACGACTTTCGGCATTTTCTTTATTTTTCTTCGTTCTTTTTTTTTTTACCCCTCCATAGACGTCTGTGACTCTGTTGGCTCGTTTAACTTTTGAGCCAAGTTTGTCTGTCGACATAGTTTCTTTAACCTTGTCCTTCAGTCGAGCTGCGAGCTGGTAGCTCCTCTCCAAATCGAATTTGTTTTCTCCACAATGTCTTTGGTCTAAACAAATGGTAATAAGCGCAAGTCTTTGACCGTTTGCTCAGTGCACACACTTATTATGCAAATACTTAAGTTCAGGCTATGAACTTAGGCTAGATTTGGGGTTCGTTTTTTTTTTCTAAAATCGTTAAAGGGCGTGCACTTCGTATTGAACACTCTCTGGAAAATATGTCCCACTGCGAGGCAAGGATATTTATGTAGTGAAAAGAAAACTTTGCTGGAAAGTTTCGACATAAATAGCGCGGTTAATATAACTTGGAAAATATTCCAAATGCCATCAATTTCGAAACTTTGCTATCTAAGCTTTAAAATATTTCAAATTGCTATTTCATATTTACTACTTCAATTTCTCTGATTGTATTTCCACTAATATACCGATGTTTTTAAAGCCATCTACATTATTCAAATGGGTATCAAATGGGAGCCCCAGCCAAATGCAAATAACCAAAAGTCTGGCAAACGACAATGAAATCGTATTAGAGGCCACGCCAATCTGCCTTCACCTCTCAACTTAACATCCAACGAGCCAAATTTAAATCATACAATGAAGAAATATTACACCTGCGGCGAAAATTTCATTTTTGGCCCCCGCCTTCCAGCTGGAATCAAAACATAAATTTGTATTTCGGTTGGGTTGGGTGGGGGGTGGTAGAAAGGGAGGAAATAAAAAAGCAATCACACGGAGGAAAAGTTCAACTAAAATATGATAAAAATTTGAATACATTTCTGTACGATTATAGGTGGCCGAAATGGAGCTGTATAAATGCAAATATGCGTGTAATCAGCTTATTTACGCATGTTTATTTTATCAAGAGGGCCGTGTCGCCCCGAAAATGATATTCAATTTGTAAATTATATTTCCCAGGGGCTCGCGGTCAAAATGGGTAGAAAAGTTGTGAGAAAACTTAGCTTCTCACTTGTATTTTATGTTAATTCCAAGCATCAGGTCGGAAAATATATATATATTCATGCGTATGTAATTAGAGGAAAACTCGACTGCTGATGGTTTAATTTACATAAATTTCTCACCAGCTTGTTTGCTGTGCAAGAAAAGTGTGCCTTTCACTCGCTCGTTTTTATCCTTTCTATTCAGAAAATAGCACAAGAAAAAAAATAGAGCCTCCATCTGTCATTCTCATATTTTTTTTTTTTGCGTGGCTTGCACCCTGCAATCCCACATGGCGTATGCGCAATGTCTTTTGTTCCCTTCTGCCGCGGCGATTTTTCTTTTTTATTTTTTTATTTTATTATTTTGTTTTTTTGTATTTATATTCAGCTCTGGGCAAAGTTATTTACCGTAAAAATATAACTTTTTCTTTTTCGCTTATTTTCCTTTTGTCCCTTTTCTCAAGTGGTTGTTTGTTTATGGAATTTTCATTTGTCTCCTTTTTTTGTTTTATTTTTTACTTCCTTTTGGGTTTTAGCTGGGACATAAATCTTGTGCTTGGCTGCTGTGATTTTTATGTAAATATCCAACGGACTCAAAACTGCACAGTAACTGTCAGCAGTGCATATTCGCATATCATGCAACTGCCGCGAAAAATAAACCAAAATAAAGACAACAAATCCCAGTAAATAAAGAAAAGTACCTCTGCCGCGCGGCTTTGTTTACTTTACAAAATAGGAAAATCCAAGAAAATCTACTTAGAGACTAGCACTCTGATTCATCCGGTGATAGTCTCGTCCATTGTATCGCACTGTGGTCCAGTAGTAGAGTATATCTCCTTCTTTCAACTCCGCCTCTCTATTGGTGTAGGTCCAACGGCCTTTGGCATCTTTGCCTATAATATCAGCTGCCCAAGTTTGATCTTCTAGACTGACAATCGGTTGGTTAAGTCTGCCGTGGAATGCAAATAGCGAAATTCCCGGTTCATCTTCTATGGAGACCTCAAAACCCCGGGGCTCTGGACAACTAACTTTAGCTATTGGAACTTGATAGCCCGACATTGTCTTTCTAACTGAACGGCAGTATACGTCAAACTGAACTTTTATAAAGAAAGTCAAGAATGCAATCTAAAAGGGTGAGTATTCTAGAGATAGCAAGCAATACAAACATTCGACCAGGGGAGTCTTATGAGCCCCTTTTTAATGATAGAAGTAATTTCCAGTTTAGATCTCAGATTAAACCTTATAAAATAAAATTATACAACTTATAAAAACCTAAACAAAAAGAAGTTTTAATATATTTCTAGATATAATCTTTACTTTCAACTTATCTATAAATCAGAAATACCTATATTTATGATAATAAAAAGTGCAATGTGTTCTAAATAGAAGCCTACGTAAGCTATAGATAAGAATTCTTCAGACTTTTTCATATCAATTTATTAACCTTCTACGGGCAAAAAACTAAACATATATTTATCACCAAACAACACTTAATAACAGCAAATATTTGACATAATTCCTAAAACTTAATTACTATATTATATTACCAAGCAAATAGCTCTTAACACCCAGCCTACAACTGATGGGTTAAGACATATTGTTGATTTTGTCATTTCATTTTCTTTGCTTTCTAGGGGTTAGCCTTTCACTTTGGATGACTAATAGTTTCTGACGGCATTATTTACACATTGAAGAGCTTAAGACATTATTATTTTTTCTTCGGAATTTCATTGTTTGTCGAGATATTGTTTACTGCAAGCGATAATTTCACACCCGAATGCACCCAAGAGCCTCCTGGTTAATTGGAAAATATTGTCAGGCCATTCGGTTGCTGTTGACAGCATCTATCCTGTGTCTTATACCAGCCCAGGCCATAACATCCCACCCATCCCATCCCACATTACATTTCATTTCATTTCCTAACATCGCCACACTTGACTGCTGATTAATTAAGTAAAGCAAATCAAGCGGAGAGCAAGGATCTGGGTCAAGAAACCGGATCTGTTAATTAATTTTGCTTAGTGCATGTGTCGGCTTTGACTCGGCTAATGGCCGTTGACTTCATTTGGCTTTAAAGCACAAAAACCAGCCCGGAAAACCGCTCAAATTGAAAAAGAATAGAAGAATAAGAAAAGCAAACTCCCATTGAAGGCTAAACAAAAGCCACAATGGCCAACAGCCATTCTTATGCCCATCTGATAGTCTTCATTATGGCCGTTCCTGCTGTTGTTTTTATTGGAATCTCTTGTTGTGTGGCGCCACTCAAATGTTGCGTATGCGCCCCGTATGCTCTCTATGACCAACAAACAAAGACAAGGCATTTGTATAAAATCCATAAAAAAAATATTTGAACAGTCAGCCCCGTTCCATGGGGCGTGGTCGGGGTTCAATCTGGAGATTTAACAGAGGAATCCCCATCCTACCATTCTGCCCACTGGGACAAACTACATTTGCCGGGCGTACACTATAAATAAGCGCCACATGCTCAACATTTTTATGCTGTTTTATTGCATTGCGCTAAAAGGCAAGCCCGGAATTGAACCCACATCCCAATCCCATGGCCGACATTCTCACAAGACTCTGTATCCGCACATGTCGAGCTGCTCGGCTCTGCTGCCAGAACCTTATTATGTGCTACATTTAACGCCCTCTCTGATAGCCAAACGCTTTTTCCTGGAGCCAACAGTGCTGCCAGCTAAAGATTAATCAAACTGGCTAAGACAATAAGGATAAATACAAAGGTTGTTTTCGCGCTTTGAAATTTGTCTTAAAAGTGAAAATACAGTCTCACACTTAAAAAAATCGAAAGTTTTTTAATAATCAAGAACTAAAAGTTCAAGTTTATACACAAACTTTGCTTTTTTGCTTGTCCTTAAGTCCTGAATTTCTGTAAAAGTTATGAAAAATCAAAAACATAAAAAATAGAAAATAAAAGGGTCTTTATTTCCCATTAGTTTCGAGTGACTGGACGTATATATTATAACACTAATTACATATCATTATATTTTATTTAATTTTCAAAAGAGAAATAAGTTTTATTTTCCAATTTATCTCTGAAAAATAGGCCACTTTGTTCAATGAAAAGACAACACTGTTAACATTCCTTCATCGTTGAAAGCTGAGCAAGCAAAGCTGTGTATTGTGTCAGTCTTGTTTGCTGTTTTCCACTCTTCAATTCCCACTCAAACATAAACCCAAACTGAAACCCAAGCCCAGCCCAAAATTGTTGGTTTTCCCAATGGCAAATGCAATAAAATTAAAGTTGTTTGGTGCGGTGGCCAAAGCCTTTCCTTTTCCATTTTCCTTTAGCTGAAAATGGTACCTGCGGTTAGTGTTTTAGCCACCATTTTTCCACCCATTTTCTATTTTTTTTTCGTCTGTTAGAGTGTAGCTGCTGAACACCCTTTTGGAGCCTTGGCTGCAAATCGATGAGCAGTCGTAAAATGCTCCCAAATTTATTGCATACTTTTGTGCGTGCAAATTGCGTGCAGAATGTGTACATGTGTGCGTAGTCTTAGAGTCTTAGAACTTTTACACACTTTTGATTGGCTTTCGAGCAGCTTAAAGTTTAATAACAAAAGGCGTAAATTTTATGAGGGAAATCATTAAATCGTTTAGCTCAATGTGCATGCATGAGAGTCGCGTGTGTGTGTGTGTGTTTGGTAGTGTGATTTACTCGCATGGTAAAATGTCAAATTTAGTAATTTACCGCGAAAACAATTGCGACTGTAAATTATTCTATTATCTCCATCGCGCATAAACAGACAGAAGGTTTAATTAATTTTTGGAAATTAAAACCAAACACCCAGCCCAGCTTACATCAAATGCAAATTGAAACAATTAAATTACATTGCTCTATAATCTCGCAGTTATTGAATCAGGCGGTGTAGTAAAACGTATAAAAACTTTATAAACGATACAGCTGACTATGGCCAACTATGGCAGACATCATCAAATTAAATGGCCTGGCCACAATGCAACAGTTAAAATGCCAGACAACAATGGCCCAGGATCCTTGCCAGGGGCACTTCAAGTCTAGTGAAATGGTCAAGTGGGCTTGGTCAGGAAAAACTGCAGCATCAGCATCCATCCCCAAAATAGGGGGTGCACAGGTGAGGAAAGACCTGAAGAGCCGTTTAAGTCAATCGAGGCATAAAAAATGTGCGCTGGAAAAGCTCAAGATGTTCTCCCCTCGATGCTCGCCAACCACAACGAAAGTTTTCTTCAGGTCTTTTCAAGCAGATGGGCATTTATCAAGAAAGGAACGTTTATTCACTAGATGGATATTTTTTCAAGTGCTATTCCACACACACACACACACACGTAGGAATAACGAAGGAGAGGGTCCTCGAACCCTAAACGAAATGATAAAAACTTGTATGAAGTGCCTTATATATGTGTGGGAGTTACTGAAATGTACTCTAACTTAAAGTATTAGTGCTTGGTTAAAGAGTTTGTCAGGTAAAAGGGTAACCTTGATATGTTATACTTTCTTCAGAGGATTTCTGACATTCATGGATATTTCTACATAAATTTCAGTGAAATCAAAAAATATCTTCATCTGAAAGGTTTGTGATGAACTATATTTTGTATTTTATTGAAATGAAGCATTAGCAAGAACAATTCCCAGCATTTGTATGGTTTTTCAGAAATCATTTTTCACAGAAACGTCTTTTCCAAAAAGTTACTTCCCCAAAGAATTTATAAAAAGCTACAATTCCTGATAAAACTATGCCAAACTTGCATTTATTAATATTTTGTGAAAATAATTGAATGGCTAGCGAGTGAAATTTCGCAGCAAATGAATTGTGTCTGCTCCGTGCGGAATACCTGGTATTTTGAAAACCACCAATACGTGCCTGACTGCCAGGATTGGTAAATTCCCGGAGCCAGGGGAGAAAAGCAATATCATCATCATTTCTCCGGCAAGTACTTTGCCACCCACAATGTCACTAATTGCGAGATTTGCTGGCGCAGTGAAATCGACAGGAGATCTCTTTTGAATTTACCACGGCAACTTTTCTCCAGTGACGGCAAATGCAAATATTTGCGATGTTTCGCCGACGCCAACTCCCTCCTCCTTGGCTCCTGGCTGCTGGCTCCATCTCCGGCTCTATCCGTGATTGGAATTCGTGGCATGGCGGCGGCACACGGAATGCTAGGGAGGGCTGAAATCACGCAGTTCGCATACGCCATTGAATTTTAAATGAAGATCCCCGGGACCAACTCGCCGGAGACAATGACATGTTTATAAAAAAAATTAAAGAAGGGAAAAGACAAAAAGTGCAAGGAGCGAAACAAGGCGTCCGCCCCTTACCAAGGCCAGAAGCCACTTCTTGGCCCGGACCACGCCTCCATTTCGCGCTTGGAATAATTGGTGACGTGGGCACGTCGTTGTCACGGTCGTTGGCGCCGCCTGCACATCCACAGCTTATAAAATTTTTACCGGAATGCCGCGAGCATATGACATGGCTTCGCTCCGGGTATGCGACTCCGGCACTATGCCGTGCCACGCCTGCATCTAATAAACCGTAATGGCGACGACACTCGACAGAAGTGCGCATCGCCCGGCTATACTGGGATCCTGAAATTAGCAGCTTCCTGGAGAAAAAACACCAACAATTTGGCAAACAGAAAACTCAGCACATAATCTCGAATTTATTAAAAATAATATGCGGGGATAAAAACAAATTAAGTGTGATTTGATATACTCTAAAAGTAGTGTCTTGTCTTTTTTCAGTTTAGAAGAAAATATTAAGCATGAAATGATGATGATTAGCTCGAAATATAGACTTAAACTGGACTTAAGGCTGCCTTTGTTTACATACGAAAAGGAAAATTCATCAAGTTTTCCTTCAGCCAAACTTCCTAAGATAGTCACTTATGCCCACCCAATCGTAGGGTATTATCAAACAGCTTATGCAAATGATAGTAATAGCAGTGTACCTGCGAAAGTTTCCTAGCTAGACATCAGGCACACGTGAAGGAGTCCGGAAATGGTTTGACTTTCGCATACGGAATCATTGGCTGACAATGATGTGCAGTCCTGCTGGTCGACGTTTTACACGTAAAATGAATAAACGTGGCTAGAAGTCCGTGAACCGAGGCAGGGATAACGGCAAGCCATAGCCTGGAAAAGTTTTCACTCTGGGATCCTTTTGTAAGTTT